CTTTTTCTGTTTAAAATGCCCTTGTTGTTTGATGGCGTGTTGATGTCACCCCTTCTACAAGAAATGGTGGAGTTGAGTTTCCCATTAAGGTGGGATTGAACCGAAGAGATTGTTCTGACTCAAGTCGACAGAGGTAAGGTGGACACCGTTTCCAATTTCCGGTGGAATAACCCCGAAAGTGAATTTCCGCTGAGATCAAGCCTGACTACTTGCCGGAGTTATCCGAAAATTGATTTCCACTAAGTAGAAGATATTCAATGGAAGACACATTTGAAATTGAAACGGTCAACGGACCGGAAAGAAGATTGTTTTTAAGATTCAACCGGCCTAAATTAACAAGTTTTGATGAACTATTACCGTTTTCTGGCAATGCTCCGGTCAGGTAATTGTTCTGCAATTCTACTACACCCAGCTTTGGCCAGTAAATGAACCCCTCCGGAATGCTTCAGTTCAAGTAATTATCCCTCAGCCACACCTTGACGAGACTATAACATCTCCCCAAGTCCTCTGGAATAGAGCCGAACAGGAAATTCTCCGTCAGGTCCAGATTTTTTAACTGATTGGAAGAACACAAGTTTCGAGGGATTGTTCCGGTGAGCTTGTTGGAAGACAAATCAAGCACATGAAGCTTCCCATTCTGGCCAAGATTCTCCGGTATGACGCCGGTGAAGTTGTTGTCCCCCAGGGCTAGTTCTTCCAAATCAGGGAACTCTGAAACATTGTTCGGAATGGACCCGTGTAGCTTGTTGGTGAAGAGATGGAGAAGCCCAAGCTTCTTCAGGTTCACGAACTCCGGCGGGATTTCCCCAGTAAGTGCATTCTCCGACAAGTCAAGGTTCACCAAACTCGTCAAGTTGCCTAACTGCTTCGGAATAGGACCGGAGAGCAGATTGATAAACAGGTACAGAGTGTCCAGGGACATCAAATTTCCAAGCTCTGGTGGAATTTGACCGTCCAATTCACAGCTGGCAAGATTCAGGATGACTAAGTTCACCAGATTACCAAACTCCGGCGGAATCCCCCCTTCGAAAGCATTGTAGTACCCAAGGTAAAGCTCTCTGAGATTAGTAAGATTCCCCAGCTCACCTGGGATTTTCCCTTCAAGATTATTTCCCCCCAGCTGAAGATACTCCAACCCCAGTATCCGACCGTAGCTCGGTGGGATTTCACCGACAAAATAATTCCCGCCAAGAGCCAAATACCGGAGTTTCTTCAATTCCACAACCCCTGCCGGTAAGAACCCAGAGAAGTTGTTGTAATAAACATCCAACACTTCCAGATTCCCCATACACGAGTAGTTCCATTCCACGTTACCGCCGAAGCCATTGTTTGAAATGTTGAGAAATCGGAGCTCGCTCAGGTTCACTATCTCAATGCCACCAGTGAAGTTGTTTCCAGCCAGAGAGAGGTAGGTGAGCCTGTCAAGTTTTGAAATTTCTGGCGAAACAGATCCATCCAGATCCATGTCTGTCAAGTCTAAAGAAACAACCCTTCTCCGGAAACACTGAACTCCGATCCAAGAACAAACCGAGCTCGGATTCGAAACATTCCATGTGCTCAACATTGGTTTCGGGAACTGAAATCCATTTCTGAGGCTAACCAAAGCATGAAAATCAGAAACAAGAGAAGTAGAGGAAGAAGGTGTCATTAGAATTGAGACTAGTGTCAAAACCAACAGAGGGACCATATTTTTCTTAGGAAAATATTTCTCAAGGGGATAGAATTTGGAAGGCCTTGAAGCAAAGACAAGAGGATTTAAGTGTTCCAAAGAACATAGATTTACTGGGAAAGTAAGAGAAAGTGAAGAGAATCTGATGGAAAATTTAAGTTTGTATGTGCTTAAGGAATCAAACATCTCGAGAGAAGGAGTAATATACAAGCAAGAATGGTGCGCCTCTCCTTTTCTTTCTGTTGGGAGTTTTGAGCACCACAATCTTACAACAAAGAAATTAAGACAATAATTTAACGTGATGTGACTTGTATATCTCTCAACAAGTTTATATCCACAGAAAAGAAAAAAATGAATCCATTATTAAGAAAAAATATAATAATTTAGAAACTCTCTCACTCTAGAAGCTCTCAACACCCTAACTTCAATATATAGAAACTCTTAAATTCTCCCTAAAACTGTCTCTTAATTTTCATAAGGATTATCTCACAATTTCTCTCTCTTTTCTCTTACAAGAACCCAACTCACTTAGATCTTCTCAATTTCTCTTGCTTTTCTCTCACTCTTGCTTGCCCATTGCCTTTGCATGCATGGGTATTTATAGTGAAAAATTCCAACTATTGGAGCAAGTTTTTCTTTGCCTCATTACCACATACGCATGATTTTGTTTCCTCATTAAATGGGGTCAACACACAATTTTGTATGATTTCAACAAAGCAAATTCTAGCCCATAATTAGCTAGGTTGGTGAATAAATTTTATCACATGGAAAGTCCATGTGAACACATGGATTGGGTTGGATTTTCTACCAACACTTTCCATTCG